CTATACTGTTCCGCTTAATGGTTTGAAAAGAGCTTTGAAATGTTGTACATATATCGATTGACGTTATGGCATAGTCTCTCACATAGATCAACTATCAATTCTACCCAGCCGATATTTAAATAATTACCACATTTTAGTTTTAAACATTTTTCTCATTTATTTATTTAACTAAATTGACTACAAACAGGATTGTTAATTATACTATCATTTAATAGTGTTAGATGCTTCTGTTCTTTCTCCGTTTTATTTTAATAATTGTAGGTTTTTGTTACTTAAACACTAAATATTCTTATATTTTCTGTTTAGTTTTCACATTCTAAATATATCAGTTCTTAAAGTTAACTTTGGCAATTGCTATATTAATTTTTTCCATTTGCTTTTTTTTCAAAATAAAACAGCCTTTGTGGGAATGGAATCATACATACGTATATTCATAAATAAAAATATTCGCCCAAACCGTAACGAATCAAAACCAAAATTAAATAAAAAATTTCCGCTTTTACGTTGAGCCAAAATTGATTTTTCGATATGTGGTTTTTAGGGTTTTTGGGTTTTCATCAACCATATTTTTTATTCGTTTAAAAACAAATAATAAAAACAAAGTTGTAATGAAATAAAAATTCAACTGAATACTCAGACAAAAACAAAATTGACAACAAACAGCAGCTACACATACGTGCATACACAGAGGTGGTTTATGCTAGCCTAGCCAAAACAGTATTTGTGTGTGTTTCTGTGATACAACAACCATTCAATAACAATTAAAAGGGAGAGTTGGGTATTGTGGATGTCCACTTCGACAAAGGTTACATTAAGGTGGTTTCATTGATGGGAATCTGCCCAATTTGACCTTTATATGAAGGATATGTCAAATTTTGTACTTATAGTGATCATTTTTCAAAAAAATGTCAAATTAAAGTTTTTACCGACTAAAACATTTGAAATACCGTGAATGAGTCGCAACCTATTTATTGGGCTATGTCAATACATGGGGTGACGTAGGGAATGGATTTAACATGGCAATTCCCAGGTCCCATCTTGGTCCTCTCTCAACTCAATTGTGGAAATTGTAACTGACAACATGCCCACCGGAAAACCCCACCTACTATTCGAAATCAATGAAACCCCATATTGGATACCCTTCACCACTTTGGGTATATTCTTTCAACTCAATTGTGCAACCTATACTAAACTTTTCATTTACAGATATAGAGTTTCTATATATATATATATATATATATAATGTGAACCGATTTCAGTGATTAACTTATATTCACCTGAAAAATGTGTGACAATCAGACAAACTTTGGGTTTCACGATTTTCACGACACTTAAAATATATATGGGAGCTATATTTAAATCTAAACAATTACGCTATGCCAAATTTCGTGCAAATCGAACGATATATATTGACTTTGGTGCACCATTTACATTAAATCGGAAGAAAATATATATGGGAGCAATATCTAAATCTGGACCGATTCACACATCATTCTAGAACAAATTCAGTACGCTGTACCAAATTTCGTTCAAATCGAAAGATATATAAGAACTTTGGGTCACCATTTACATTAAATGGGACAAAAATATATATGGGAGCTATACCTAAATATGGACCGATTTTCTGGAAACTTGACACACATCAGGCTAGACCTAATTCATTACGCTATGCCAAATTTCGTGTAAATCGAAAGATATATAGGGACTTTGGTACACCATTTACATTAAATCGGACGAAAATATATATGGGAGCTATATCTAAATCTGAACCGATTTTTCTCAACTTCAATAGGAGTCGTCCTTGGGCCAAATAAGTGACCTATGCCAAATTTCATCCAATTCGGATCATAAATGCGACCTGTCCTTTGTTTACAATTTAACATGGACAGACGGAGGGACGGACAGACGGACGGGCATGCCGCATGCGTAAATCGACTCAGAAAGTGATTCTATGCATATTCTCAAAAGGAACCATGTGTCTATCTCGTTACCTTTTGCCTGTTACAAACATATGCACAAAGACATAATACCCTGTACCACAGTGTGGTGAAGGTATAATAAAACCGAACCCTCTAATGTTGACGAACTACGCAAACGTGAAAAAGGACCACGATCTGCGAATTTTCGCCTTGGTGGATGTACTCGAGAAATACAAAGCCGTTATTATTGCCTTACGGGAAATGCGATGGAAAGGAACAAGCGTATGAAACGAGACATGATTTATGCGGATTTATGGTCAACAGGAGAATAAAAGACATCGGAAGGGAAAATATTTTCGGTCACACCGTCGAAAAATTCAGACTCCATGAAGAAACATCCGACAACGGCATAAGGTTGATTAACTTTGCGGCAGCAAAAAACATCGTAGTAAGCAGCACCAGATTCAAGGATCTCGATATACACAAGGACACCATTTCTCCCGATCGAACAACGAGAAATCAAATCGATCTTGTTGTGATCGACGTTCGTTCGATCCGAGGTAGCAGTCAAGTTTCACCCTCGTCTTAATGTAGCAGCAAATGTGCGATCTATCGCAACACGGAAACTCGACGTCGAAAAGCTGCAAACACAACAGGTGTTTGCTCAACATACCCACTTACTTTACGACAGCTCTCCTTGTCCCGATAATGTCAAAGAATTGCCCACTCCCCAAAAACTGCAGCAAAAGCAACACTTGGGTACCGAAGACCACCACCAAGAAACTCATTGTAATGCTACTGAGTTGAAAAAACGCAGCGTATATGGCAACCCTGCAGACAGTAGCAAAACGTAATGCGAGGGAGAATTATCGGGAGAAAAGGTAAAAGAACAAGAAAAACGTGAGTAAATCGAGATGTACAGAAATCAGAATAATGTCCGGATAATTTTTTCCAACGAGTAAAACACCAAATCGAAGGCTTTGGTGCAGGCACAACAAAGATGGAAACCTGGTGACATATAACGATAGTGTGTTGAGGATCTGGAAGAAGCATGTTGAAAAGCTTCTGGTATCAAATAATGGCGGTGAAGAAGATACTCCAGAATCAATAAGAGATGATGGTATAGAGTGTATACCAAGAATAGCAATCAGAATAGCAACCAATCGGCTGAGGAATAATAAAGCAGCAAGTTCAGACGGGTTACCAGCCGAACTATTCAAGACCGGCGGTAAGGAGCCTGCACCAGTTCATTAGTACAATTTGGCTTGGAACCTCAGCATCATGTGTCCCGTACACAAAAAAGGTACACATGACAATATGTGCCAACTACAGAGGAATGAGGCTCCTTCCCATCGCAAATAAAGTGCTATCCAGCGTGCTGTGTGAACGACTGAAGTCAATGGTCAAGGATGTTATTGAACCACATCCATGCGCCGAGATCTGGAAAATTTACCATTAACCAGGTGTTTACACTGCGCCAAATCCTAGAAAAGACTCACGAAAAACACATTGACACATTCCACCTTTTCGTAGACTATAAAGCCGCATTCGATGTCGCCGATGTCTGCGTTCGGCATTTTATATGGTTATGCAGGAAATCTTTAAGTGGTAAATTGTTGCCAAGACATCCAGTAGACTCGGACTTGAAAATTATAGCTTTGATGTAGTCATAGATTTTATCTACATCGGTGCCACCATAAACAAAAGGCATCGGTTAAGAGATTCGTAGAAAAATAGTGTTGGCCAACAGTTGCTACTATGTTCTAATTAAGCCACATAGGAAACAATGCCACCTGTCGCCAGACAAAACTCATATTCTACAAGACACTGATATCACACGTGCTGTTGTATGGCTCTGAATCTTGGGTACATGCGCAAGCAGAGGAGGCTGCTCGTGGAGTGTTTGAAAAAAAAAATTACGGGTAAAACCTTCAATAAAATGGTTCGGGACCTATATCAAATTATAGTGCTACTTTGATAATTTTCTGGGCAGATGTGAGATGAGCTAGCCATCAAAACCTCTATATGTTAAATTAGAACCTTTTTGGTTGAGCGGGACACATAATTATAATTTAATGCAGCCTATATACCATCCTAGGAGTAATAGCAATATCAGCGCAGAATTTTAAAGCTGTATCATAAATATTGCGATCCCTATGGTGACTATCACAAGGATGCCATTATATGAAGGCTATATTTAAAAGTGAACCAATATTGACAATCTTAGGCAAAAAATATGGTACCGAAAGAGAAAACAAAATCCCAAAGTATCCCATATAGATAGAAAATCTGTTTATAATTCCTGAAGTTTAGCCCTTAGAATTGTGCATGTAATTACATGTGTTAAGGTTTCTTCAAATCGATTTACATATGACTTCAATATATATTTTTGTCCGATTTCATTGAAATGCTGGACAAAAGAACCGCGTTTTCCAATTACATGGACTTCCGCATTATGCGTCTGTCAAGATTTATTTAAGTCGATATATATTTAACCCATGTCATAAATTATGGGTTACAGTACGATTCTTAAATATTCTTATTTGCCTACCGACTTTAATATCCCCAATATGAATGTAGTTATGGTTGGTCATCCAAACCCTCTCTTTTTATGAATGCTAGATAAATTTATTTGTTTCTGTGGTTGATTGAACGTGGTAGGGAGCGAAGTAGGGGAAGGGGTTCAATTTATGATGAGCATGACTTCAGAATGTAAGCTTTGATGATTTCATTTGTTGTCATGGAAATATCGAATAAAAACCACATTTGTTTTTTTTTTAATATTCAATATACCGGTAACAAATTCTTTAAATTGGTGCCAGGAGTATGTCCTACTAGTATTTTACTTATACCTAATGGCAGTGTACAATAATTTTTTTTCTTTGATAATATAGAACTATTTAGGGTTAGGATGATTAAGCCAATTCCAAATTTGTTGTAGTTTTTCTGTTTCAAAATTTTGTTTTGTTTCATGTTGACTTCAAGTTAAGTACCCATTGAAGGGCTTTTAAATGCAATATTCTGCTCATATTTTGTTTGTTTAGGAAACCTCTCTCATTCTCTCTCTCGTGGAGTATTTTTCTACACAGCTGTACCATTTATCATATCATAATGGTCTCGAAGAGCACTACTGGCACTTGGTTTTAGCTGTACGGCTGGTAAAACTCCTCCGATTGTAGCAGATCCTCCACCAACACCACCACCGACACAACTGGAGGTGTTATTTGTTTTAACAGTTGGACTACCGTTAACAATAGCCATACCGGCATATAGGCTGGCATGAGAACGTCGTCTCTCCCTTTCGATTTCATCCAAATCGAATGCATCGCCAACCATGCCACTTGGTCGACGTTGTTCGTCGAAGGCGTAAGCTCTTTGGAATTTTGAAGGACCGTGACCTCCAGCTGTGCCATTACCACCTCCGCTTTGTGAGCGTGTTAATACAGCATGATTGGAGTTTTGCGATGAAACAACAGAAGCTGTGGGACCCCCAACGCTGTACAAACGGAAATTCGAGGGTGATGAAGGTATGGCAGTAGGCCACTGGACCATTGGCTGTTGTTGTTGTTTTAAAGAGGAACTCATATGAGAATGTTGTTGTTGTTGCTGCAGTGGATGTTGCGTATACTGTATTTGATGAGGTGGTGGTTGCAAGTACATGGTCTGCTGTTGATGCTGCTGTTGCTGAACAAAGTGCCCATTTAATTCTTCATTTGACTTGTGGAGGCCATAACGTGAACTATAGACATCCTGTTCCCTTGAAAGGCTTAAATAACGATTCTGTGGCTGCAACTGTTGTAATTGATGTTGTTGTTGCTGCTGCTGCTGTAACTGTTGTTGTTGTTGATGTTGCACCATAAGATTCGTCAAACGTTGCTGGCTTGAACTGTAAATATTATGCAACTGGCTAGTACTTAACGCTGACGCTATACTGTCCTGTGAATCGGTGTTACGCTTCACCAAAGCCCTCGGCAATGTGGTACGACTTTGATACATCATTTGTTGTTGATAATCGGGATGGACCGGGTGGTGCAAACGATTTTGTGAACCACCGTATACATCACGAGTCATATAATGATGATGATGGGCCGCGGTATTGCCATGTGTCAAAGGAAATGCGTTGGCAGCATAATCGCTGTTCACACCAACAGGACTTTCAAAGTCATACAGTGGTTTTGGTACAGGCAGGGGTGTGTAGAGGGCATGCAGTGATAAATTGGAACTAAGACGTCTCAAATGATTGGGTTCAACATACATAGAAGCACGGCGGTTATTGTTTCGTAGTGCTGCAGATGGTGGCATTAAATGGATGTTATCTGAAAGGAGAAACATTAAGAATTAAAGCACTGAAACCACGGTTAATTGAGGTAATTTTATTTCGAAAAAAAATAAGTGAAACCTCACTTCATGTTAAAAATTTGTATCCACATTAAAAAATCTGAGAAACTTCAGTTCAACGAGACCAGTAAAACCTCTATATCTATAAAATAAAATATCAATTCACTGTGTTCTTCTTTTTTAAAAAGTAAAAATCACAGAGCCCAGTTTTTATTAAAAATCCAAAGCAATTCATATAGAGATTGTCTATCGGAACTCTAACTAATCTAAATTCACTGCGATCAAAGAAAGCCGCAGCATTCTGAGGACATTTTTGAAAATATACATTCCGCGATTCGGGCCCTTAATCGATATCATTTTTGCCATATAAATGGGATGACTTTGTTAACTGAGATTTATCAGTTAATTTAGCCATCTTTTCTTGAAAAAATTCTGACCCATATCAATTAGACAACTTTTTCGAAAACAATATTCACTGTTAACAGGGGCATTTTTTCAACAAAGCATCACATTCTATAACAATGTCCCTCAATTTTTCTGAATTATATCATTGGCGTTTTTTCTTTGTAATTGCTGTTTGTATTTATTGTATTTACTGATGACACCCATTCAATGAGATACCAAATTTTTATATTTCTGGCACAACAAACGCATAATACAATTTTTTCTCTCTCTTGAGTTTGGAGACAATTTATAAACTTTTCTAACCACTGCCATTGCTAAGAAAATATTCCCGATGAGAGTCCTCTAAACTATACTCAAAAGTGCAATGATAAATGGCTTTCATTCGACAATGTCCTTGGGCAAGTAAAGTGATTGGTGCTACTCCAATTGAAGACGAGAAGCGTTTAATGTATTTCCAATAATAAAAAAAACAACAACGATAATTCTGCTTGTTGTTGTGCTATTATGAGATGCTACTTCTAAGAAGTTTTTTCTTTGTACTCGAGTTTTTTTATCGTTATTTGCCAAAATACCCTAAAAGAGTTCGGAAGCTAAACTAAATTGATTTTGTTGGATAGTCCAACATAAAAATGAAAAAAGAAAGAAAAACTAACATCGCAGAGGAGTTCAGTGAGGAAGATGAGGAGAAGTAATGTATGTGAACACCATTTCAAATAACACCATAAGCAAAGTAGTAAAGTCGGACGGGGCCGACTATATGATACCCTTCACCACTTTGGGTATATTCAACAGATGAATCCTAACAGACGTCGTATTTTTAAGGGCCTGTAAAATTAAATTGTATCCATAAACATATAATTCTACAACCGATATTAAATTTTTCATTTGGTCAGATATAGAAGCTATATCTATTAAATCGGACGAAAATATATATGGGAGCTATATCTAAATCTAAACCGATTTTCAGGAAACTTAACACACATCATTCTAGACCTAATTCATTACACTGTGCCAAATTTCGTGCAAACCGAAAGATATTAAGGGACTTTGGTACACCATTTACCTTAAAACGGACGAAAATATATATGGGAGCTATATCTAAATCTGAACCGATTATCAGGAAACTTAATACACATCATTCTAGCAATAATTTGCTGCTACACCATTTACCTTAAATAGGACAAGAATATATATGGGGGCTATATCTAAATCTGAACCAATTTTCAGAAAACTTAATACACATCATTCTAGACCTAATTCATTACGCTGTTCCAAATTTCGTGCAAATCGGAAGATATGTAGCGACTTTGGAGCACCATTTACCTAAAATTGGACGAAAATGTATATGAGAGCTGTATCTAAATCTGAACCGATTTCTATGAAACTTAATACACATCATTCTATACCTAATTCATTACGCTGTGCCAAATTTCCTGCAAATCGAAAGATATATAGGGACTTTGGTGCACCATGTACATTAAATCGGACGAAAATATATATAGGAGCTATATCTAAATCTGAACCGATACTCAGGAAACTTAACACCCATCATTCTAGACCTAATTCATTACGCTGTGCCAAATTTCGCTCAAATCGAAATATATATAGGGACTTTCGTGCACCATTTTTCATTAAATCGGACGAAAATATATATGGGAGCTATATCTAAATCTGAACCGATTTTTCCCAATTTCAATAGGGTTCGTCCTTGGACCAAATAAGTGACCTATGCTAAAATTAATCCAAATCGGATCATAAATGCGACCTGTACTTTTTTCACAAAAATACATGGACGGACAGACGGAAGGACGGACATACGTAAATCGACGCAGAAAGTGATTTTATGCATATTTTCAAAAGGAACCATGTGTCTATCTCGTTTCTTTCTGCCTGTTACAAACATATGCACAACATTGCTGATTTTACAAAAAAAAAAGGGTTATCAGAATCCGAATTCGCTCAAAAATAGTTTATTGAAAAAATATTTAAAAAAATGTATGCCCTTTAAAATCCTCGCCTTCCTTGAAAAAATTATTCTTTAAAAAATCCTCGCTTTCCTTGCAAAAATATTCTTTAAAAAAATCAAGTCTTCCTTGAAAAAATATTCTTTAAAAAAATAACACGCCTTCCTTGACAAATATTCTTGAAAAAATCCAAGCCTTCTTTGAAAAAAGGCTTGACAAAACTATATATGGGAGCTATATCTAAATTTGAACCGATTTTCACGAAACTTAGCACACGTCATTCCAGACTTAATTCAGTACGCTATGCTGAAATTCATGCAAATCGAATGATTTTGAGGGGCATTGGTGGACCATTTACCTAAAATCTGCGAAACTATAACACACGTCATTCTTGACTTACTTCAGTTCGCTATGCCAAATTCGTGCAAATTGAATGATTTAAAGGGATTTTGGTGCACGATTTGCACAAAATCGGACGAAGATATATATGGAAGCTATACCTAAATCTGAAACGATTCTTCCATTGATAAAATATTCTTTAAAAATCCACCCCTTCTATACTTCCTTTGAAAAAATATTCTTTAAAAAATCCACGCCTTCTATACTTCCTTTGAAAAAATATTCTTTAAAAAAAATCCAAAATTTTACTTGACATGGTGTATTCTGTAGACACTCTACTCTCTAGTCTCTTGTCCCGGAGCATCCATTATCAAACAGTTTGCAATATTTTGAGTAAAGCAATGGATGCTTGCAGAAGCCAATATAAATGACGCATAAAACTGAAAAATTCCTCAAAGAAAACTTTCAATTCAATCTTTCTCCCCCCTTAAAAAAAGTTCCTCTTTCAATCCCCATTTTATATCAACTTACCATCAATCACATATAAATGGTCTTCATTTTCGGTCAATTTCTTAAAACCATGCTCATCGTCGTTCGCATCCATAGCATGGCCGCCAAGCATGTCGGCATCACCATCATCATCGTCGTCATTATCATCGACATCGTTGTCCCCCACCTCATCTCTGCCAGTGTCTTCTCCGGACAAAAAAATGTGATTATTTTCACGAGTTTTTCCACTGGCATTTTTGCTGTCATTTGCACCGGTCCGATATTCACTTTGCAGTTTGTCATGCAGCTTCTTACGGCCATCCAAGGGGTTTTGTTGGTTCGTTATGGTGTTGGTGGTGGTGCGTAGGTTATGTTTCGAACGAAACATTTTGTGATTCATTCCGCCACCAGTACCCATAACCGCATTCATGTCCCGTCTATGGTTGAGTTGTTGTTCTTCTTCGACATCGTTCTCAGCAGCATCATCATCGTCGTCGTCGTTCTCAATATAGTAAATATTTTTGGGTTTTGGACGTACGCCAGCCCTTTTGCAGAATTCTTCGAAAAGTTCATCTTTGGTTTTGCGAATACCCCTTTTTAGACCACATAGTTTTTGGGGCTGTTCTTCATCGCCATCATTGTCGTCGTCCTCCTCATTCTCATTGGCATGGTGGTTGTGGTCAATGGCAGCATCATCTTCAACGTCAACATTGCCATTATTGTGATGGACAGGGCGATGGCCACGTTGGTGTTGCTGTTCATCAAACTTGTAGTTGGTTTTACCATCATAGTGGTGTTGTTGGTGCTGTAGCTGCTCCAGTCGTTTATTGTATAAATTTTTATTCTTGTTGTTGCTGCCACCACTTCTTTCAGTGCCAAGAGCAACATTTGCCTGTGTCTCTGTATCGCTAGCGCTGTTGTATCTCGTGTTGGTTGCCACATTACGTCTTCGATTGCTCAGACTTGTGGAATTCTTTTGTTCGTGCAACGATGCTTTGTTGTTGCCACTGCCACTGTGTTGGGCGTTTGTCGCCTTCTCACTTAAATCACCGGCAAAACTGACATTGTGGGTGGCATAAATCTCCGTTGTTGTGGAAACACTTCGCGTCAATGGAAACTCCTGCGGTGTATCGCTAAATTGTTGTGGCGGTCGTGGTAATGTTTGTATTTGTAACTGATATTGAGAACGATGTGCTTGTTGTTGTTGTCTTTGTCTTTGATGTTGGAGTCCTCCACCACCACCGCCACCCATCCGTATGGCTGAAGGTGGTGGCGGTGGCAGTGTAGATTCTAAATAAAGTTCATTTAAAGATTTTGCCAAATTTTTCGAGTGCAAATTACACTTATTCGACATTGCATGGTCGGAATTCTTTTCGAAATAGTATCTGTAATGGATAAGAAGGACGGCAAATAAATAATGGCAAATGAATTTTAAAGTTGTGTGTGTGTGTGTTTGTAAATATATTAAAGATTTAATTCAAGGGGGAAAGTCAATGTTTATTTTTTGGGCCAATTATTGGATTTGTGGTATATCGAAAAACGACATATATTTTGTAGATGGACAATCTGTAGAATGTATTCAATACATAGGTATTCAGTGTATATAGGGTGTTTTACTTGATGTACCCGTGCAGAAAGACATCTAGATACACAGTAGTAGTTATATTGATGTATGTACTCCCATATGAGAGTTATTATAAATTATTTACAGGATTCTACATTTATAACACAAGAGGTGGAAAATATTGTGGGATTTTTGTCAAAATATGGGCATAAGCCGAACATTTTGTAAGAATCTAGAATACCAAATCAAATCCTCTCCAACCACTGACTTCGTTTGTGGAAATGCGCCTGATAAGGAAAGTTGTTTGAAGTTTTTTTTCCCTCAAGAAGCCAAAATCACTAAACTATAGACACTTCGTGGGAGAATTGCGGTTGAAATTTTTAAAAGACCGGAAGTTTGCGTGGATTTGTTTATGAGGAACCATTTTGAAAAACGACCTATATCGAAAATTTCTTGCAAAGTAGGTTTTCATCCTCCAATAATTGAGGATCATAAATTACAGCCACTTGGGTAGGGAATTGCGGCTAAGACCTTCAAAATATGAACCAGTAAGAAATGTAGTAAAGTCGGACGGGGCCGACTATATGATACCCTTCACCACTTTGGGTATATTCAACAGATTAATCCTAACAGACGTCGCATTTTTAAAGGACCAGTAAAATGAAATTAGATTCATAAAAATTCATTCTGCAACCGATACTAAATTTTTCATTTGGTCAGATATAGAAGCTATATCTAAATCTTAACCATTTTCAGGAAACCTAACACACATCATTCTATACCTAATTCATTACGCGGTGCCAAATTTCGTGCAAATCTAAAGATATATAAGGACTTTGGTGGACAATTGATGTAAATTGTCCATCGGGCGAAAATACATATGGGAGCTATATCTAAATCTAAACCGATTTTCACGAAACTTAACACACATCATTCTAGACCTAATTTATTACGCTGTGCCAAATTTCGTGCAAATCGAAAGATATATAGGGACTTTGGTGGACCATTTACATTAAATCGGACGAAAATATATATGGGAGCTATATCTAAATCTGAACCGATTTTCAACAAACTAAACACACATCATTCTATACCTATTTCATTACGCGGTGCCAAATTTCTTGCAAATCGAATGATATACATAGGGACTTTGGTGCACCAATAACATTAAATCGGAATAATATATGGGAGCTATATCTAAATCTGAACCGATTTTTCCTAATTTCAATAGGGTTCGTCCTTGCGCCAAATAAGTTACCTATGCCAAATTTTATCCAAATCGGATCATAAATGCGACCTGTACTTTGTTCACACAAATACATTTACGGACGGACAGACGGACATGCGTAAATCGACTCAGAAAGTAAATCTATGCATATTCTCAATAGGAACCATGTGTCTATCTCGTGTCTGTGAGGTGAAGGGTATAAAAATTGTACGGGAGCTTCATTTCGGAGCTACGTCACACGATGAACCTACCACAGTGCCAAACTTCTTGGTGAAAAAATGCGGCTAATATTTTCGATGACAGAAGATTCTGTTAACCCGTGATTTGGAGGGTAGTTCAATCAGAATGGAAAAAAATGAAACCATTTCAGTCGCAAGTTCATTATTAGGCCAGGTATATGTATAGTGTTCTTCGTACCGAGATTTGACTATTAATTATTCTCAATTTTGACATTTCATTGTAAAACAGTAAGCGGAGTAAACTATGATAAATATAAATATGATACTTTACACAACTAACACTGCGTGTTTAGTTTATGCGGATCTATATTCCGAGCCTGGGAAATATTTCGAGATATTTGCACTCTCTTGACCGATAAGATATAAACAGCTCTTCTGTGGCAACATTTGACCCGCTTTATATTGACCTTCATTATCATGACAGTCATTCGAATTAGTTGGTCAGATCGCCTTGTCTTGGAAAATGTATGATGTTCGGTTTATAATTGTGGCGTCTAGATAAATATCACCTTATCATCATCGAAAATTATAGGCGTCGTCCTTCACAATAACCTGAACCTCATTCAAAATTTCATAGCCATCACGATACATTTCCTAAACAATATATAAATACATATACCCTGGTAATGTTTAAATATGACTCTCACATCCGTGTATGTACACAAATATAATAGATATCAATTTAAAGGTCAATTACTCCTCTTCAATATACTATAAACTTCTCGGGTCTATATCCTTCAACTTTTATGTAAAATCACACAGTCCATGGTCATTTCCACGACAGAGTGGTCTACGATCCGAATCGACCCGAGTCTTACTCGGCCAACGTCATCACCTCAGTCCATTGTATAAAAGCAATAGGGATGCTACAACAACATGCCATGGTCAGACCTCTTTCTCTGTGTAAAATTACGTTATTTTCGGGCCATAATTGTGGCCTCTAGATCTATTAGAAAAACAAACCGAACAATGGACGTCTTCCATGGCCAGAACCGGTCCTACATTCAAAATTTCGTGACTTTGGCCATGTATCGTGTTTATAAACTATTATGAACAGACGGACACACATGTCTAGATCCACTCAGCTAGTCGAAATATTACGATCGATATACTAAAAGGTGGGTAAAGGACCAATATTTCGCGGCGTTACCAACCAAAAGCTATAATATCATTGCTACATAGTTGTGTAGGGTATACAAATTCAATCCGACCGATCTTAATATTGGTTTACATATTATAACCTACACAGAAATAATTTAATACTCACCTCCTTTCCAATTCATTAAGAAACATTGTTGAGCCCAAACCATTTGGATGTTTGCGACATGCCAGTGGTGCTTCGGATTTTTTGTCAAACATTTCAGCAGCACTACGCCTTCCAGATGCGGCGGCCGCTGCAACAGCTTCGATGCGACCCATTTGTGTCATATTCTTCAATAGCTTCTTTGAGTCCAATTCTAATTCTTGTGCACGAACTTGACGTTTTTTATTTTGCTGTCCATGACGTTTACGATCGATGGGTTTCTTATCCAATTCATGTTTATAGCTTTTATAGGTATTTTTGGCATTCTTTTGTTTACGTTTTTGACGATTTTCTCCCTCTCGGATTTTCTCCTGGAGATTTGAGATACTGAAGCAGGGAAGGCGCTAGAGAAAGGAGACAAAGTTGGTAAATAATTTTTGGTATCCATATCAATGTCTAATTTTTTATGACAGCTATATATAACTATTAAATACATTCAATATTTTGAAATTATTAAATTAGTTTTATACTTCTTATCTTATTTCAATATATGTGCATTTTCTTTACAGGATAACAATACCCAATTAACAATAACTCAAGCGTATTAACTTTCAATCCTTTTTTTACCCATCACTCAAAAAAGTTAAATTTTCCTGAATACAACCAATCAAATTGTCAAATATCAAAATCAAATTTAATTTCCTTTTTGTACCTCCATAAAGGATCAAAATAATCCACCACTAATACACTTTCATTCTTTTCCAAAGAAGTTAACAAAAAAAAAACTAAAAGGTCAAACTGCAAACTAAGTAAATTTAAACAAAATCAGATATCAATTTGTGTAGAAAACGAAAATAAAAGACGAAGAAGAACTTGGCAACTGTAAACGGGACAAAAATCAGGATAATCTGGTTTTTGAAGTCAAGTGAAAACAGTAGCATAAGACGTATGAAAGTTATAACTAAATTTCATACTTGACCCGGCGAACGGATATAAAACAGAACGGATTTGACTGCTAACTACCGACTGCATGCAGCATGCTCCGCCTGGACGTTGACCAGTGACCATGACCAGGAAATGACCAACAAGAATGGACGACAGTTTGTTAAAGTTTTAACGGTAATGAGATTGGTCATCAAATAAAGAAGGAAAACACTGTATACGGAAAGGATGGTAGCAAGCAATGTTGTCGGAGTACATTAATTTATATTAAAAGTTTGTATTTTTGTATACAAGATATCGTACAGAATTTTTTTGGTATTTTTAAGTGAAGATTTCCATTGGAGTTTATTGATAAATAAAATTAAGAGTATTTTTAAATGTTGTTTAAGACAACACCTTAAAAAGTGTGACATTTTGAGGATGAATTACCAGATGTGATGGAGTTATAAGGCCGACAGTGGCACTTAATATATGTTTAATATAACTATTAATTTCTGTCAACTGTGTACCACACAGAATTCACTATATTCATATAAGTTTGCCATCTGCGGGGAGATACCAGAAGAAGCTGTCCTATAGACGCCATCCTCCTATTTAATGTAGATGTTGCAAACAAATTACGGATTATAATATATTTACTAAATCTTTTTTTTAGTTTTACTATTACAATTCTAGAGAGTGGAAATGTAGCCGATTAGGAAATTTTCAGACTTAACGTAGAATAGGTAATAATATCATGATGTGCAACCATATGTTTTTCCGATAAGAAACAATTTTAGGAGAAGTACCAAGCAGCCTAGAGCCTACTCGTCTGTCCATTATAATTAGTAAATGACAGGTTAATATTTAGGGGATGAAATTTACAAACAACATTATTTTTATAACCCGAACATCACGAAATTTTACGCAGAAAAAGGGGCCTGACCCTAGAATAAGCATGATGGCTTTCATGTGAACAATTACAAAAATTTTATTCTATGGCGTATATAATTACTTCTGATTGCCCGAGAGGTAAATCTTCTTTTTAAAAATCAATACTAGTACACTTTTTAGGGTAATCTCCATATATAGTGCTAAAAAATATGTTACTTTGAGTTTTTACTCCTGTAGACAGACAAAAACAGACAGCGTATTATGGATCTGGAAGGAGCATTATAAAAAGCTATTGGTATCAAAAAAAGATGACGGTATAGAGTTTATACCACCTAGGCAGATGAGGTCAGAATAGCAATCAATCGGCTAATGAAAGCAGCAGGTGGTTACCAGCCGAACTATTCAAGAATGGTGGCCAGATGCTGGTTAGGGGTATTCACCAGTAAAATTTGCCTAGAGGAATGTATTCCCAATGATTGGAACCTCAGCATCCTGGGTCCCTTACACAAAAGGAGACATATGCCAACTATAGAAGATAAAGTGCTGGTTAGGTGTATTCACCAGTAAAATTTGCCTAGAGGAATGTATTCCCAATGATTGGAACCTCAGCATCCTGGGTCCCTTACACAAAAGGAGACATATACCAACTATAGAAGATAAAGTGATATCCAGCGTGCTGTGTCAACGACTGAAGCCAATGGTTAATGACATTATTGGACAATACCCATGCGACTTCAGACCTGGCAAATCCACCATAAACTCACTCTCTCTGCGCCAAATACCGTTCAGAGGTGTTTAAAGTCATGTCTGCTTTCGACATTCCTGCAAAATTAAAACGGCTATGCAAAATAACTTTAACTGGCACAAGATCAGCAGTTAAAGTCGGAAAGGACCTCTCGGAGCCCTTTAATACCGAACGAGGATTCAGACAAGGTGATAGTTTGTCGTGTGACGTTTTTAACATCCTGGTAGAAAAGGTCATACGAGATACACTCTGTACACCAAAAACACATGTTACTCGCCTACGCCGATGACATCCATATAATTGGTTGAACATTGCGAGCGATAACAGCCACCTTTGATCGAATTGAGAAGAAGCCTGACAAAGTGGGACTGGCAGTAAATGGTGAAAAGACCAAGCTGATAGTATTAACGCGCAAGCCGTCCAGTAGACTCGAAACAACTGTGAAAGTTGGAAACTACAGCTTCGAGGTAGTTAATGATTTTATATACATCGATAACGCCATAAACCAAACTAATAACATCAGCTTTGAAATACGGAGAAGAATAGTGCTGGGATATGAACGTAGTAACATTCCAAATGCTTTCACAAATTCCACTTCGCTCGTTCTAGACAAAGCTACGTACCAAATTTCAAAGTTGTACTTCTAACCGTTCCGGCGTAGTACATATTTTAGTACTTTTTAGTGCCGCCTTGTCACACGCCTACGCACTAAACCCGACCTACATCCCACGTTTCCAGCTAAACCCGTTACGTCTGGCCGTTGATGATCAGTCTACTAGCATATGCCCGCTACTTCGTTAGCGAATGTGGGTAATATTTAAACATGTATTAACATATTATTTTATTTTCACACAAAACTGCATATGTCAGAACAACTAAATAATCTCCACATTAATATCGACCATAATTTGAGTATCATTTGGTACCAAATTTCATGATTAGAGCTCTAAAGGTTCACCCAAATCCAAATTTTACCAAATTTAGTTTCATTTAGCACACATTATTTCCATCCATCGAACATCGAACAAACTTCCAACTCTATCGGTTCACCCACAAATCAAATTGTGCCAAATTTAGTACACAGTAGTACAAATTTCGAAAACTTCCTACATACCCCAATCCTATACCCCCACACTAATCCTAAGTCTAAGTTTCAGGATTGCAACTCTATCGGTTCACCCACAATTCAAATTGTACCAAATGTAGTGCATAGTAGTACCAATATAAAATCTTCCTACATACCCCAATCCTACACCTCCACAATGTTCCTAAATCAAAATTTCAAGATTCCAACTCTATCGATTCACCCACAAATCAAATCGTACTAAATTTAGTACAAAGTAGTAACAATTTCCAAACCTTCCTACATACCCCAATCCTACACCTCCACAGTGATCCCAAATCCAAGTCTCAGTATTCACTCACAATTCAAATTGTACCAAATTTAGAACACATTAATACAGATTTCTAAAACTTTTACATATGTCAATCATACACCGCAACAGTGATCCTAACTCCAAATTTCTTGATTGTAGCTCTATTGGTTCACCTAAAATTGTACAAAATTTAGTACCCATAATTTCATATTAAAACTACGTTCATATCCCAATCCTATTCAATCCTTAACACTCTACATGACGCTGATATTACCCGTGCTGTTATATGGATCCGATACATGGGTACTTACGCAAGCAGATGAGGTCCCTCTCTGAGTGTTTGATTCATGGGCCGATCTGTGTTGACGGCCGTCGTTCTGCGTAGAAGGACATCGCCATTGTCAGACGTATCGAGCTGCAGTGGCTACGTTGGATAGTTCATATTGATGGTTCACGCGGAAGGGGAAGGCCACGAATTAGAGGGAAAGATCATGTGGAAGACAACATTGCTGAACACGGTCTTTCAAATTGGAAAAAGTGCGCAAAATACCGATGCGCCTGGAAATATTTTTTAACTTCGGCTTATTGGACGACAAGCCAGCTAAATAAGTAATTTGAGTTCTTATTGGGTTGTAAATCCTCCCACCATGAAATGGTTAATATCCGTATCTCTTTGGGTATAGACCCCACTTAATTTTGTAATGTACACGAACGTTCGGCACAATCGGATAGATTTGTGGACGAAAGAAATTAATTATGGAAGTGATGTTTAAAAATGAATTAAATTTGTCACACGTCATTTAGGGTTTTAAAGTATATGCAAATTTTAAAACACTTTTAAACCATTAATACTCTAATCACTGTGAAGATGTCTGGATTACCCGATCCTCAGGTGAATATAAAACATTCCTCTCTATTCCATATCTTTGAGAAGTAAAAATAAGAAATATCTTACTACATTACTTGCATTGGATTGTCAATTCCTATTTTTACTTCGTATAATCGAATTTTCGCATTCACATTGAAAATCAACGATTCTTTCAACAAAGGACTCAATGCATCCAAAGTTCGAGTGAAAATCGTTGATTTTTATCCATTGTTTATACAACAAACGACTTAACTAAATCCTTTATTTCTCCAATGGCAGAAGAATATTCAATGGGTCTTTGTTAAAGTCTTTTGTATTCTTGATTTCATTTCATGTTTCTGGCATTGTTTATTATCGCCATTTTCCTCATTCATTTCTTTCATTTATTCCCACATTTAATTATAAAATACAAAAAGGAGAAAAAGAAAAAAAAACAACATAACGCAATTCTCAATGAAATCAAAGAATGGTGGATACACAGAAACGTACATACACACATGCATTCATTCACACACACACACACACAGATATACTTACACTATAATAACCGGCTTCCTGCAGACTGATGTAGAGAAAAATGTTCAACAGACCCACAAATTCCGTCGCTATAAAGCCAAAGACAAACAAAAAGAAACTCTGACCGTAGGTGACCTTAAACATGGGCGGCTGCAGCGATGACCTTGGACGCAACTTTGACCCAATTTCTGCCTTCAATATGGATATGTATGCAATCAGACCTATGAGCATCAGTAAACCTTTTTTTTCGTTTTGAGTTTTTTGATTCATAGATATTTCATTTTGATGTTTCGAACATGTGTGTGAACGATGGGTTGGCATGGACGTCGTCGGTTGGATTGTCGTTTACACCCCAGGTTTAAATGAATTATTCGAAATTTCAATGGTGGTTGTCATCATGGCCGGTGTCGTCATCGTCATTGACATTAATGATGGCGTGGAAGTTCGAATATCGGCGATTTTTGTTTCATAATGAAGACAGGACAATTACAAAAACAGTTTGTAGCAGCATTGACGGCATCATGGCATTGGGTTGAAGTGTGCCATAGACAGTGTTGGTCACGGTATTGAAAAAATGACAAGTAAACGAGTTAAAACATGTACGTGTAAATGTGTATAAAAATGCAAGCTGACAATAATTAAAAGTTAAATTGAAATTAATATTAATGATGGTCACAACAAGTGTAAAAACTTTTTCTTTTATTTTGCTCGACAGGTGTCAAGTAGTGAATATTCTTGGATGGATGGATGAAAGACAAGTTGTGGAGTGGATAGACACAATAATGAATGGGTAAATGAAATGACATCGCCACTACAGCATATTTATAAAAGGATTACAGTTTTAATGAGACGCTGAACATTTTATTATCTTATCGTATTTTTTGTAGTTATTATATCAATGCCATGGCAGATATTCAATGAAAAGGATATTTTACAGAGATTTGGTTTCGTATTGTAGGATAAAGATTCAAGAAAATAGAAACAAAACAATTCACAGGGACTCGAAACATATGGAGAATATATTTTACAAAAATATTCCTCATTCAATTTTAATGAAGACACGCCAAAATAAATCTTCTGACGGAGCGAAAAACTCTGCCAAGACACCACTCGACTCCATAACCTCCGCTGTGTTGACCGACAGGAGGAAATTCGCTTCGTAATGTAAGTGGTCTATTGGAATCATGAGGAGACACGAATGCACTTACGTCAGCTGACCCCACAGGAGCCGCATTACCAACAATGATTCTTTATCAAATTCCTGACAACCTGGTTTCTGCTATCGACCTTAAGGATAATATCTGCGCGGACGACTTTTATTGCCTATCTAATATGACCCCTGTTTAGAGGTAGCCGCATATTCGCTTCCTACAAGGTGAACAATGTATGCCTTGATTCGCTAGGAGATATCACCACACATTGGTGAACTCTCTGTTTCAGTCTACGGTTCTTTGACTTTTTATTTCTGTATTCCACTTACTGGCATCCCCACATATAATTCACAATCGAACTTGGACGTGTTTGACCAAAAATACTCAGGAAGGCATGTTGGAAGACAATAAAATCCTTCTGATTAGACAAATCCTAAAAGTCGTGAGGGAATACGTACGTAACTACCCTAACAATGCCACTAGGGAACATCTGATCGAAGAAAATGGTTCAGACCAACTTCCTATAATCGTTTCCGTAAACCGAGGAGAGAGGAGAAACGTATTTTCAGGCAAATTGAACGAACAAGAAAATGGGAATGCTGATTGACAATATTTCTATGAAGTTTTCAATAACTGCTTCAGAGAGCTGCCCGAAGTAAGACCGAATTTCCCAGCATAGGCGACGATATTGGCAAATGAATCTGTCAAACCCTGAATGCCAATCTGAAGCAATGCAACATTGTGAACTGAACAAATAAAATTGGACATAAACTGCAGTTATGGAGCATTTCGATGATGAAGAGGAATTTGCTACGTCTTAAGAGGATACTCCCATCTGAGGAGATGCTACCACTATTTACAAAGGAAGATGATGCAGATGTCTGCAAGAGATATCTATGATAGTAGAAAAGCATCTGGATGAGCCCTCTATTGAAAACAGTTTTCCATGAATCTATATCAAGATGAATTTCTAGACAGGAAACAATTCCTGTCTATTTGCCTACCTCACAGTGGCTGAGCCACAGGCGGAACGCTCACCTAAGCAGAAAAAATAACTTATCGACACTCAGTTTGAACAGTAATCTAAAACTTAAACGTACTGATAATAAAGTGGGGTTTTTGAATGCGAGCCATTTAGAAACATGCATTTTTATACCCTTCACCACACTGTGGTACAGGGTATTATGTCTTTGTGCATGAGTCGTTATATGCATGTCCGTCTTTCCGTCTGTCCATGTTAAATTGTAAACAAAGTACGGGTCGCAGTTTTGATTCGAATTGGATGACCATATATATCCCTACATATCTTTCGATTTGCACGAAATTTGGCATGACGTGATGTTTGCCAAGTTTCGTGAAAATCGGTCCCGATTTAGATATAGCTCCCATATATAGTTTCGTCCGATTTTATGTAAATGGTGCACCAAAGGCCCTATATATCTTTCGATTTGCACTAAATTTGGCGTAGCGTACTGAATTGAGCCTAGAGTGATGTATGCCAAGTTTCGTGGAAATCGGTCCAGACTTAGATATAGTTTCGTCCGATTTTATATAAATTGTGCACCAAAGTCCCTATATATCTTTCGATTTGCACGAAATTTGACACAGCGCACTTAATTGAGCCAAGAGTGATGTTTGTCAAGTTTCGTGAAAATCGGTCCCGATTTAGATATAGCTCCCATATATAATTTCGTCCGATTTTTTGTAATTGGTACACCAACGTCCCTATATATTTTTAGATTTGCACGAAATTTGCCACAACGTACTGAATTGAACCTAGAGTGATGTTTGCCAAGTTTCGTGAAAATTGGTCCAGATTTAGATATAGATCGCTTATATATTATCGATTGATTTTAAGTAATTGACGCACCAAGGAACCAATATATGGCTGATAGGAACAAAACATACTGAAATCAGTATAAACTAACATGTGACAAGTTTCGTTGAAATCGGTTCATATTAGGATATATAGTTTCCATATATATTTTCGTCGGATTTGGTGCATCAAACTCCTCAATTTTGTCAGATAGGCATGAAATTTTGCACAACGTACAAAATTGAGCATAGAATAGCGTAACAAACGAATGACATGTTTATTGATTGATCTTAGTCGATTCATATTTAGATAAGTATTACGTATTTTAGTTCATTCAATTTCATGTTAATGGTCCTGTTTAATATATCCATAGTGGTGAGGGGTATCATATAGTCGGCCCCGTCCGACTTTACTACTTTCCTTACTGGTTATTACAATTCTTTTGCAGAGAATTACATATTCACTAGGAATTCGAAATACCACGTTACAGTTAATTCGCAGCTAAAACCTTCAACATTTTTAAAATGGGTTCTTCTCTATATGGACCTACACAAAATTTTCGGTAAAGATTTTTTTCACTATTGAAAAACACGGAATATCCATTTACAACCACTTCGTCATTACATATATACGGATTTTTATTCTTAAATCTTTCGAAATACCGATGGATGGAACCTTTTGTGGAGGCTACGTCGAAAAATTGACCTAAATCGATATTGTCCGGAAAAAATAATTTTCACACTCCATGATACCGTAGTGCAAATTATAGCCATTGGTATTACTGGATATTGGTTAGAAAATTCGGCTAAAATCTTCAAACTACCGATAATGGGCTCATATCGTCGTATGTAAGATATACCAAAACGTGGACCAATGTTGGTAATTTTCGATAGGAAAATTTTACAATTCATGGGCATTCAAAATACCAAATATGTACTGCAAAATCATTGTGCTATGATAGTTAAAAATAAGAGTGCGTCAATTTTCTTTCTTAATTTTCAACCTAATTTGTTTTATATATATTTGGATTGTTATGTCCTAATTAATGCTATCAATTCAATATTAATCACAGTGTGATTAACATAACTAATTGCTTCTCAGAAAGCAGACACCAAAGCGTATGATTGTTACATGTATCTGTCCTGCATGTAAATCATACGGTCCCCAGAACCGACTCCTGAAATTTGAAATTATTTACATTGGTATGCTTGAGCCATAACCGACCATTATATGAATTTATGTAAACTGCAGTGGTCGTTACCAACACAACTACAATAATTCATATCTCTTATTGTTGCTGTTGTTGTTTATTTTGCTGTCTTACCATGTCTGTATAAATTTGCCACAAATTTACGGCGAGACAAGAAAAACGACAACGAAAAAAAAAACAGTTGCATATTTTTGGGTAAGGGATACGTTACTAATGATAGGGAGCAGCATGAAAGAGAGGGGAATAAAACATTTGTGTGTTCTCCCTAATTGAGTGACTTGTCGTTTTTTTTCTTCTTTCATTCTTCTTTTGTGTCTGCCTGCAGTGGCAATGGAGTTATGGTCTTCATGTAACCACAGATGATTGATGGAAATTGGGTGCTGGGTACTGGGACTGTAATGATAATTGTGCCATATTTTATTGTTGTTCTTGTTGTATAACAGTGAAAAATCAACATTGTTGGAAAACAAAATAAAATGAAAAAGGGGGAAAACAAAAGACAACCCATAACAAAGATTTTCCACAAAAACAATCCTTTACTCTACTTACCTGACACAATGAACATAATACCGGCACTAAAGTAATATAAATTATTTTGATGCGAACAGGTTGGTATCAGAAACACAATGAAACTCAGCAGTAACACAATGCCAGAAGCCAAAAAGAATGGACATGACTTGGTAACAGTATCTGCAAAGACGTAATGAAGAGCAAAAGAAAAGAAGAAAATATATATATGAATAAGTGAGTAAGGGCAGTAATAAAATGGAATGAAGTAAACAAATGTGTTGGTGGTATATTCGAATATATTTCATCATACACCTATTATATAAACATTGGGTATCGTAATATTCTTAATAAACCTCTATCACGTCCGGAGACAGAACATGTCGTTCAACTGCCTTTGGTCTGATAAAAATCATTTGAACTCGATTTGCTGACCTTAATATTTCCATTCAATGTAGACTACTTATTCCTTATTCCTTTTGGTACCTAATTCCCAAATTGTTCATATTTTAATTATTCTTATTATGAGAAAGCCTAGTGTTGTCTGACATAATCGGAGAGTTCCATGGTTGTACACCACACATTTCGACAGCCTCTCTCAAAACTGCTCTGGTCACCACGAGCACCTGACCTTAAAGGAATTTTAAAACACAGCCTCTCCCAAAGCTGTTTTTTGTTTTTGTCGTTTAGATCGACATTCTAATTTTCTTAAAAACAATTTTAAATAATTTGCTACATCCTAAACCAAAAATGTATCGCGTTCCTCTTCGAAAATGTCGGCAAATATATTTCATGCCTTAAAAGTACGCAATTTGGACGAAACGTTCATAAGGAGACTATGTCCGAATATATACCCATGTAAACATTTTTCTAATTAAATGTACCTCCACTGCAAGAGGTGAATGCGGCTTAGAGCTTCAAAATGCCGAACAAATGTAGTGAGGTAATTTATATATGTGCTGTGCCCAAAACTTGTCCTAAATTTACTGTGATGGGTGAATGTGGTTAAAACCTTCAAACCGCCGAAATTGGAACGTGGTACAGTCTTAATAGCTTTTAGTGGGAGTATTTTATACCTCATAAAAAAACGAAATATAGAATACAGGTAATTCGTATGAAAAAACTTGTCCGAAGTTCCCAAAATCCCAATTAAAAGAGTTGACGTTCTATGAGAATCCAAAGTTTGAAATCTTAAATCGTGTCAAAACTCCACAAAATACAGAAATTCGGCGGGTAGCGCCCTATGGAGTCTACACCAAAATATGAACCAATATTTATAATTTTTAGTAGGACGATTTTGTACCTAGTAGGACCGGAAATCTGAAGCAGATTAGTTTAAAAATGTGCCCAAATGCTTCAAAATACGGAATATTGGAGTTTACCGTTATAAAGGGATTACCTTAATATTTAACTGTTGTACCCCTTTTTCAACACCAAAAATCCTGTACCATTATTGGGATTTATGGTATAGCAAGTCATGTTTATTTTCAAAGAATATTAAAAAGGTATTGGAAGACTTGTGATTTGTTGATAATAGGTTATTTATACTCTGGAAAAATCTGAGCTAAGAACATCCACAATTAAGAGGGTAGTATTAAAACCAGGCTACACCGAATACCCTACACAAATTGAAAATCTAACTTTCTGTGGTTCTATATTCTGAGCATGGGCAATATTTCGATATATTTCCACACTCTTGACCGATTAGAGGTCAACCAATATTACTAATATTCAGAACAACCCTTCTAATTTCTTGGCCATATTCCCTTCACCGTGGGTTGTCTTGCGATGTTAGGCTTTCAATTATGGCCTATAGATAGACTCGAAATAATACAAAAAATTAAGTTCTCGGTCCAGTTCATCCCAAAATTATTATCTGATCATCAGAGAAATTATAGGCGTTGTCCTTGACCATACATGGATCCTCATGGAAAATTTCAAAGCGAAGGTATATTGTGAGGTTACTAAACAATATCTATATACCTGTAAATATTTAAGTGTAACTCTCACATCCAAGTACATGCGACCATATAATTGGTATCACTTTAAAGGTCAACCACTCCTCTTGAATATGATATCAACACGGGAGTTAATATATCAAAAATCCCGATCCCCTACTACATGTAAAATTTATGTTCGGGACATAATTGCTGTTTTTTTCTATTTGGTCCAAGAAAATTAAAAAGGTATTGGACTGTGGCCTGTATCGTGATTATTGGTTTAGATCTATTTCATTATATGGGGCTATTTTAAACTTGAACCTATATATGTTACGCTACATAACTATCACTAGGTCATAATTGTGGCCTCCGAGTGACCAGAAAAACAAGGAAAAATATAATTTTTGGAACTTTTCATCCCCTAAATATAATACTAACTTATCATTACCAAAAATGACGATCGTCCTTGGTTCGAACCGAACTTACATGCCAAATTTTGTAACGATTGATCCATAAATGGACAGGCGGGCAAACACACATGTCTATATAAACTCAGCTAGTCCAGATATAACGTTTCGTATACTAAAAGGTGGATATAGGTGGGGTATAGGGTATACAAATTTAGCAGATCTAAAAAGATGTATGTGAATCCGTTATAATCGTCCTGAAATATGGCATATATCCGCCAACGTTAGGGGGAGCCCCAATTCTTGTTTTCAAAAAATTGAATTTAGATTTGTGATGCGATTTGGATGAAATTTCCACATGCCACTTATTTTGCCCAAGGACGGCCACTTATTGAAATTGGAGAAAATCTGTTCAGATTTAGATATAGCTCCCATATATAGGTTCGTCCGATTTTATGTAAATGGTGCACGAAACTCCCAATATTGGCCCGATTAAGACAACATTTTGCAAGGAGTACTGAATAAGGTGTAGACTGATATTTGCGAAATATTGTTGAAATCGGTTCAGATTTAGATATAGCTCCCATATATAGTTTCGTCCGATTTTTTGTAAATATGTAAATATTTTCGTCCAAGTTAATGTAAATGGTGAAACGAGGAGTCTGTGTTTGTTCCATATTCACGAAATTTAGAAGCGGGAATGGAATTTAGTCTAGAACGCTTTGGTTATGTTTGAAATCGGTTCAGATTTAGATATAGCTCCTATATATAGTTTAGTCCGATTTTATGTAAATATGTAAATATTTTCGTCCAAATTAATGTAAATGGTGAAACGATGAGTCTGTGCTTATTCTATATATACACGAAATTTAGCAGCGGGTTTGGAATTTAATCTAGAACGCTTTGGTTATGTTTGAAATCGGTTCAGATTTAAATATAGCTCACATATATACTTTAGTCCCATTTTATGTAAATGTTCTATATGAACGATATTTTGTTGTTGACATCGGTTCAGATGTATATATAGCTCCGTTATATATTTGTTTTTGTACGATTTTATGCATATGGAGAAGCCTATATCTTTTCGTTAACATGAAATATTACATAGCGTATTGTGTTTAAACGTTTCAGGTCTAGATATATCTTTCACATATATTTCTGTCCGATTTTACCAAAATGATGTACCAAGTATCTAAAGTTTGTTCGCTTAGAACGAATTAGTACACAATCATAACTAGAATAAAGTGTATTGGATTTCAGATTGCTATGCAGATGATATGTCTATTCTATCTAAAGGATATTGTGCATATTAGTATATCGATTGCGATTTTCCAAAAATAAATTCCTAAGTCGCCATTTTGCTAAATTTCGAGGTAAGTCAATAATCTTAGTTCATACCAGAACAAGTCTTACTATATAAATATACAGTTGTTTATGTATACAAAAATATTTTAGAACATTAGGGACCATGACATTCGTATAATGATAATTTTATATGATAACAAAATATATATCAAACCTATCCCCTACACAACAATGTGTGATGGCCAACTAAAACAAAGCAGAACGTAAACGTAGACAGATAACATGATAAATGTTCAGATAATTGAAACTGAAACTAAAAACTTCAAAAGATAGTAGCCATCTCTCTCACTACAGAGCGATGGCATAAAAGGAGTCCACAGAATGTTCTACTTATATCAGATATATTATTTCTTGTTATTGTGTGGTTGTTGTCGTTATTTGTTTCTACTGATGCCAGTATCTTGTACACATAGATTCCAGTACCACAATCATAGTTCTTGTTCTGGATATGTAAACGTAATTATTTATACATTCCTGTTTATGTGTTTACCTGAATGGGAAAATTTTTATATTCTATGCAGTAAATGTTGAAGTGTTGTTGTTGCTGTTGCTACTGTTGTTGTTTGTTTTGTATCGAGAATATGGAGAAATGAATGTGCATTTGACATAACATGTAAAATATTTCAAAATCAAATGAAAATATGCATATGTGTGTATTTTTGTTATGTGTTGTAGTTGGTCCTTTGGCCATATGAATCGCATCAATACTTTTATTAAATATGAATTATTCATGGGATACAGGGGTGATGGGTGTATGGATGTGGAAAATTAAATACGCCTTAACTTTAAATGTAATGTGAAAGTACCATTGAAGGTAAAAGTGAATCTACATGACAGTAAGCGTATGCTCTGAAGATGTGCACTCTTATGTTTACATTATGATATAAAAAAATAAATAAATATAAGTTATTGCTTTATGTATAAATATGAGATGTAAGTAATTTTGTACTTTGCTCATTTCAAAAAAAAAAGGAATTTATTTGTGTTCACTTTGCTCGTTTATTTATTTTGTAAAATGTGACCTGTTGTTATGTTCTTTAATGAAAAGTAGTTTGTCCTTGGTACTTGTAAAAGTGATCATTTGAAAGGATTTTATTATAAATGCAAGGATTTGATATTTAGCGGTTCTCAGTGGGAAATAAAAGTCTGTGTAATATTGATTTACTATATTTTTTAATGTTTCAAATATGCAACTATTAGGCAACAACATATTGCAAACTCTTGAAAAATAAAAAAGAACTGAAGTAGAGATTTAAAGAAATCATCATAGATTTCATATGTTAAATTTTTCACATAGCTGAATTTGTATCTTTATTCTGAGGAATATGCAAATATCCTTTGTCGATGACGAGATATTGGTGTTTGTATTTGGTAACCTTTTCAGGCCACTAATATTTGAGGTGCAATCTAAAGTAGGAACAAGATTGCTGGCAGACAGTTCTTGGAACGCTGTCAAAGTGACAAAATGTTG